CCGTTTCCGCACCCTGTCAACTTTTAACGGGCGCTATGGTAATGAGTACTTTACCGTCGTATGTTTAACTTAGTCACAGTCTCTGGCTGTTCATTTTTATTACCTGCGTCAGGAGCCACCCGAAATTCAGTCAGCAAACTACTTAATGGAGTCCTACGTGGAGGCAGGAGAGTAAAATCGTGAGCTGCTAATTTTAAAATATTCTGAGATATCAAAACAGCCGTCATTGCAGAAAATGGTCCCCAGTTCTAGGGTTAACCCGGTTCAACAAAGTTGACCGTCAATGGATCACAATATTTCAACATAGGAAGAAGACCACGAGTGCTCAAAAGCGACTGGGCGGTTGACCGCGTACAGGGCCTTGCAAAACATGCAGACATATCTTTTCGCCCACGGAAATGCCTAAAACAAGTGTCGACGTCCAAAACGGCTAAGATTTCTCCAGGTTTTCAGCTACCAGAGCCCTCAGTTTCTTTTTTTGTTTATTCTCAAGGCACAACAATAGTATACCACGAAAAAAATGAACGCTAAATTTTTTTGTAAGAGCTGTTTTACTCTAGTCAATTCAGAAATCGAAAACAGATAATTTTCGGCCGTGCATTAGGGAAGTCAAGTCGCGAAAAGACACCCTTTACTTCGACAAGGCAAGCACCTCCAGTGGGTCTCTCCCACCTCATTAATGAGATATAACTGACCAGTGAAAAAGCGTTCAGCAATCGGTTAGAGGGCTCCCTCGTCCCTTACTGTTGCCGCGTGTTCGGCCATTCGTGTACGGAAAGATCTTTCAGTTCTCCTCCGACGTTGTCGCAACGGTACCCGGTCACACCTCTAAGTCTGATGAGATCGAAGCCCTTGCTAGAGCTGACAACCGCATGAGCCGTGAACTGCTCGAGTCTTAGTTTCTTTTTCTGGCCCGCAGTCGATTATCAAGCGCAATGAGCATCCAGCCCTATTTTCTGTGCTGACAATTCGTCTAGAGGCTCAGCAATTACCACGTGAGGAAGACGCGG